GAGCGTCGCCCGATTCGCTAGAAGGCCCCCTGCAGCGCCGCGCCCCCTGGTGTTGGGAGGAACCCGGAGGGCTGCAGCAGGACCTGGGAAGGAGGAGGCGGGACCAATGGGGACGAGGGTGGGGCCTGTGGGAGGGGGCGGGGCATGGAAAAAATCGGTGTAGTCTGGATTTAGAAAATGCTTTAAACCTGTAATGAAGCTAGCTTTACTGTGATCATTATGTGCCAGTGACTATTTCAAGTGCTTCACTCCTACAACAGCCCTATTAAGTAGGTACTGTTATTCCCATTTCACATGGGAAAAACTAAGCACACAAATTTACCCAAGGTGACAGGCTATCCTATGTAATAAAAGGCTAACATGCAAATCGACTGAAGACTGGTCGCTATGGCATGCACTGACCACCAGGGGGCAAATGCTCAATGCAGGAGCTGCCCTCTGGTGATCAGTGCACTCCCACAGGGGGAGCCCTGCTCAGCCAGAAGCTGGGCTCATAGCTGGTGAGTGCAGCAACAGTGGTGGGAACCTCTCCTGCCTCTGTGGCAGCGCTAAGGATGTCTGACTGTTGGCTTAGGCCCGCTCCCTGCAGTCGGACATCCCCTGAGGGCGCCCGGACTGTGAGAGGGTGCAAGCCAGGCTGAGGAAACCCCCTGAGTGCACGAATGTCATGCACCAAGCCTCTAGTATAAGGGATAAAACCTGAATCTGAGCCTAGGCAATCAGGCTCCAGAACCCAGAAAGACCTTTGGTCTATGACCTCTGAGCAATCTGTAGGTTTACAGTGGACTTGCCTTGCCAACCTATGTCTCTTTCAAGTCTCCCAATAATTGATCCATTTTACATACACAAGAATGGAGGCTCCAAGAGCATAGTGAGCTGCCCAAAGGCCAGAGCTTTCCTGACTCCCGAGGGCCCAAAACCATGGTTTCTGGCATGTTCTAACAAGAGCCTGGGGGAGGGGGGGTGTCTTTAGGCTCCCAGAGAGCTCCACTGGTCAGCTTTCGCTTTGAGTCCTGACTTTGCACCTTACACCCTATGTTACCTTGGGCTAGCCTGGCCCCTTTCTGGGCCCGTCTTCCCATCTCAGGAGGGTGTAGATGGGGCCCTAGGGTCTCAGAGGCCCTACTAGCTCTGACCATGGAGGAACAGTCAGCTATAAACCAAGGGAGAACATGACCAGCATCAGACACACCAAGGGGGCAGAGTCTGCCCCTTTTACCACGTGTGACCTTGGGCAAGCCGCTTAACCATCAGAACGTCAGTGCCCTCAGCAGTCGTATGGGACAATGTTACCCACCCCCAAAGGAGGTCGTGGAGGTTAAATAAGTGTAGCCACCAGTTCACGGTGGAACTTGACTTAGGTCTCTAAGTTGGTTGGCCATCGGTGACTTTGATGAGACCAAGGTGCCTGAAGGGGAAGGTAGCTTAGAGATGGAATTTGAGGAAGTGTGGACAACTCTCTTAGAAATTTGTGATGATGGAGGCTAGGGGACAAAGAGGGTACTGAGGGTCTTCTAAAAGATTGGCTGAAATTGGCCACTCCCTCTCCTTTCTCTCACCCTCTCCCTTCCAGGGAGGAGGGGAATACATAATGGAATCCTACCTCTCCTGGAATAACTCAGGGGAAAATCATTAAAAGGTAACATAAGCTCCTATGGTGAAATCAAATGCTACTGGCGGACGGGTAACACGGTCCACTGGCCTGAGGGGGTGTCCTGCTGACTCAAGCAGAAGGACTCTTGGATGCGATTTTAAATTGGACACCCACAAACCCACACCCCCAGTTCATGTCCTTGGACTATTTGCAGGTCGGTAGTTAAGGAAACGTTTCTACAGTTAAAGAAAAGGCAGCTGACCCCGATGCAGGAGGAGCACAACCCTACACAGTGAATGATTGAGAGGACTGCCTTCCCTCACTTTCTCCGTGTGACCTGACCACTCAGCATCATCGACACTGATGACCACTCCTGGGTTCTTGAAACCACACACACTCCTGATATGGTCACACGGGGTTTCCCTTTCACCTCCCAGGTGGCCCCTGCTCCAGTGCGTTTTCAGGTTCTTCCTCTCCCCCCTACATTAACAGTCCCCCAGGGCTCAATCCAGGGTCCTCTTTCTTCTGACCCCAGGCACACTCCCTAGGCCAGGGGTGGGCAACCCCTGGCACACGTGCCAAACATGGCACGCCAGTAACTTTTGCTGTCACGTGAAACCCTCTCTTATAATCTTCCATTTACAATTGTGAATCTTTGTTTTCAGGATGAATTTTGTTAAGTCTCATAATAGGAGTAGCCTGTGGAATGAAAGTAGTAGCTCATGCATATCTCTGAAGGTCACCAGCC